GTTTGATAGTGCAACATTGGAACAACGGCTGAGTGGACTAGAGAGAGATGTGACAGGTGGCTTGTTCTTAACTGTGCTTTTAAGTTTCTCGGATGGTAACTGCTGATAATTTTCTTTTACTTCCATGCTCTGCTTTCTATTCTGGCCTGGCCAGATCACTCGAGCTTGGTGTTAGCATGCTTCTTGGTCCTTCACCCACAGCTGTCATCTGGGAAAAGACTTAAAATCTCTTGAGTTTTAGTACTGCTTAGAACATTTCTGGTTCCGTGTGTGTATGCATGCACACATACATACTCATAAGAATGCTGTTTGGAATCAGGTTTAACCAGGGCTTCTTTAAAAGAAGAAAAAGGTTTAGGAGGTTCCTGTGTAAGTACGTGTTCCCTGCGAGGGCCTTTTGGGGGTGTGGGGGTTAATGGATGTGGTTATGTACACACATGTCTTCTCACCATTGTACCTCCCATTTCCAGATTTTGCCCCCTCCCCTTAAGGTAAGCTATGACTTGCTCAGAATAGATTTTCTGAAACAGTATTTAAAATCACCATGTTCCCTCATAGCAACTTTCTTGAAATGTAGTTTCCATACTTTTCCAGCCAAAGTCTCCTTTTCAATCAAAACTACTTTGAGACCTCATTTCATTGTCTGTGTTTCTCTCCCTAATCTTAAAGATGTCACTGCTTTTTTCTCTCTACTCACTGTAGCTTCTCCAACCATTCCCTCACTACTCACAGTGCCAGACACTCCCAGGCAATCCTGCTTTCTTTGACTTCCCCCAGGCTTGCATTCTGTCTGTATCCCCTATGTCATGTGATGTAACGTTAGAAACTGCCGGTGTAATTCATTTAAGCCCGTTAATCAGAAAGTAACCTCTAATTTGTGTTTTCTTCTCTTCTGATGTTTTCATTACAGGAGTCTGGTTGGAAGCAAATGTTTTTTTAATGGACTTGCATCTCCTCACCTTGATCAGGACTAAAGGACGGAGGCCGATCCACCCCTCCCCCTTCCTCCAAACCCCTAACCCCCTCCAGACACCCAGGGAATACCCTCTGCCCTACAGGATTGAAGACTGCTTGACAGCTCTCCCAATCCCACACCTCCTGTCTGCCAGGAGAAAGAACCTAAAGACTTTATGGGGTGGGAGGGGTGGCAGACAGGAGGAAAACATGTCCAGGCCCCTGGTTTCCATAGAGAATGGTGCTTTGTCCAAGGAAACGTATGAGTTTCTGATTCTCCAGGAGCAGTTTAGTGGTGAGGTTGATGGGAAGACTTCCTTCCCAAAGAAAATGGATCCTCCGTGTAGGATCTGTCTAGGAGAGTGACTGGGTGTGCCAAACTATGCCCAGGGTCCTGCCCTCAGCACTAGGTTTGATGGGGCCAAGAGGGTCCAACCCCCATGCTAACATACCACTTTGTTTAATTCCTTTACCTTCCCAGCCCTTTGAGGAGAGACCATGAGAACAGAAATTACCTTATGAAAAGCTTCTCTTACTCTTGCTTTTTTCTCTTACATATTGACGGTTTGTTTCCCTGACCCCCTAGAGGGCTGAGTCCTTCCAGCTCCCTGCTGCCCAGCCTCCTCAGTGGACTTGCCCCTCCTGAGCAGAGAAGGCCCAGGAGGCTACTTTCTGCTGGGGAGCCCGGCAGAGTCAATTTCCACCCTCCGCTGCTTCATGCTTGGTTGCCTCTTGCAAAACCAGCTCTACTAGGTGTTCCCTTTCCCTAGGGCTTTGCCGTTTCACAAGTGGAGCTCTTCTCCCAAGAAGGCTGCTTCCTTGTTTTAGAGGAAGGTACTGCCATTGGGAGGGTGGGGACATCGGACCTCAGCAGTGAAGAACCCTTGTGAAGTACCAAGAGGCATGGGGAAGGAGGCAGTTTGGGCAGGATACGACCTACTTCCATAGGCTTTTCTTTTTTCAGGTTTGATGTAAGCATGGGCTTGCATCCCCCAGGTACATACTTCTACTTAATGTGGGATAACCTGGCACTGGTAGACAGGTAAAAGTCACAAATTTGGTGTCTTTCCACCTTTTGACTATTGACTTACTAGCTCCCCTCGCTCTGCCTGGAGGTACTTCCTGCCTCCGATAAGGAGCAGGGAAGAAGTGGAGCCGTGACTTGGATGAGCTCAGCTCTGAGTTCTAAGGACCACCACTCTGGGGGCCATTTTCCACACAGGCATATGGAATTGCTTTTCCCGTACCATCCAAATTGTGACGTGGTTGTTGCTGAAGAAAGAAGCAGCAACAGGGTCCTGCAGTACCCACGGGGCGATGGATGCTACTTGCGCATGCATCTGCAGGGCACATGGCATCTAACATGGGAAGAGATGTGGCATGTGAGATGAGACTTGGCATATGAGATGTTGGGTCATTGGAGACCCTTCTGGCTCAGAGAGGAGAGACTGAGTTGGACTGAACCCTTCCTCTGTTCCCTGCACGTTTCTGACATAGCCCTCAATCAGTCACTGAGGGAGTCCCCCCAGGGTTGGAGAGGCACATTCCCTCGGGACAGAGGCTACAGATGTGTAGCTTTTTTTCCCCCCTGTCCCCAACCCCATCCCCACCTCCACTTCAGAACGTGGCACCCCGCCCAACTAGCCAAGTGTTCAGTGATGTGCTTATCCTCGAGAGCAGCTCCGGGTGTCTTTTTAAAATGTAGAGAAAACCAAGTAAGGTGACAGTTTAAGGAAAAATATATATATAGAATACCAGAAAAGCCGTTTACCCGGAGAATTTTTTCTCCCCATTTTTGTTTTGTTTTTACTCAATGACACAATTTTTAGTTTTATTTCCTGATAGCAAAAGGAAAAAAAGAAACCCAACCCTCACAAAGGCCAAGGCCCCGTCCCCCTGTCGTCGGTGATTTGTTTGTCTTTCTGATAGGTTGAAAATTGTGTAATAAACTTGATGACGCTGTCAATCTTTTATACTGCATTGTATTTTTTTCCTTTTGTAAAAAAGTATTTTTAAATAATAAATGGGGTGTGAGCTGTTTTATGGATTCTGCATTGAATAGATTTGTTGAGGTGTCTGGGGCATGGGCATGGGCTGATGTAGATGCTGTGGGATGGTAGTGAAACCCTGGGTTCTTAGCTGGAACTGCATGCAGTTGCCTGTGGTACACACATTAGGAGACCTAGTGCAAACCTTTGGAAGTGCCCCTTGAAGTTTAGCTTTTTTCCTTAGCCAGCTAAACAGCCTGGTTAAAGAAAATTCTAAGTCATCTTTTACCCTTCAAGATTCTTAAGATTTCTATGGCCATGCCACCCTGAACAAAGCCCAATCCCGTCTGATCTCGGAAGCTAAGCAGGGTTGGGCCTGGTTAGTACTTGGATGGGAGACCACCTAGGAAGACCAGACGTTTAAAAAAAAAAAAAAAAAGATTCTTAAGATTTATTCTCAATAAAATGTCCTACCTTGTATAGTTCAATGTCAGGAAGGGAAGAATCCTCTGCTAGGGGTTAGAACACATGATCACTGGTGCCTCCTTCCACCTGCCAATCTAACCATGGACAAGCAATGGAACCTCAGTCCAATCTGTGAGATGAAAATGATAGCTGTTCTGCTTCCATGCAGGGATGTTTTAAGAACTAGAGATAATGTCTTTTGTAAACTGATCTACATATGAGCAAGTACAGATTAGAAGGCAGAAGGGATTCCAGAGAGCTGCTGGCTTTTTAAAAAACAGGTGAACAAAAGGAGAGTTACACGATAAAAAGATGAACCAGAGACGTGGTGATATATAATGTGTATTGGGACCAGTAAGGGCAAAATCTAAAACTTTTAGTAGAAGGGAAATTCCCTAGAGGTAGGTCTATGACAATGTGAACTTGAAGGAAAAAAATTGGGAGTCCTTGTCAGAATTTAGACCACTGTTGAAGTTCACAGCCACCTGCTTCTCCATTGTCTGCCATGCCTGCTAAAATTCCTGCTTCTGCGCTGCATCAATCTCTACGTAAAGTCTAGAAATCTTTTTATGTGCCAGATGACTTATGTAAATGAAAATGTGAGGGCTGCTAGTTTAGCTTTGATTTCATCTAGGAGTTACCATGGTGGTATAGAAGGGGACTGACCTTTGGGACAACTCTAGGTTCAAGTCCTAACTCTTACTATTTAAGTTGAGTGCCTTTGGACACGTGTGATAAACATGAGTCAATTTCCTTTTGCCTCAGGATTGTGTACACTAAATGTACTCTGCCAGGCACTGGATGAACATTAGTCCACAAGTTGCTGCCATGGTACACCCAAATCTGTGTGTCTTCAGTGCTTCTGGAATGCGGCCAGACCGCAGCCACTGGAGATGGCCATGCAGTCACTTGACAGTTCCAGCCATGAGTTTGAATATGAGAGCAGGCCTTTTCTAGCTCGTGTGACCAGAGTCTGCTCCTTTGCTCAGTCCTCTCCACTGTGCCAGAATGGTGGCGCCTGCAGGTCTGCACAGGCTATAAAGTGGTTTCCCATGGCATGCAGTGAGTACAGCCCCTGACCATGTTAACCCAGAAAGCCTAACTGTGATTCTTGCCCTGCCTCAGTTTCTGTTGTATGATGTTCTACTCTGGTGTGACTAACTGCATCCACACAGGTGGCTCCAACAAGCATCAGGATGAATGAACATTTCTGGAGCCACCCAAGGGAAACTGCACTAAGCTTCCAGATAACCATGAAGTAAATGAGAGGACTTTTTCTAATCACATCTCCCTTTTCAACCATTCATTCTCATCCTCAAGTAGTACCTGTGAAGAATGAAATTTACTAATCCAGACTGAGATTCATAAACGGGGTTTCTAGTTCCAACTGTTAGTGACCAGTTATACGACACTTGGTTATGTTACTTCCCCATCTTTAAGACTGCAAAGTGGAAGATTAGATTAAGTTGGTCTCTAAGGTCCCTTTGAATGAGCTACCTCTACACTTCCAACTGACCCTTCCATTAACTTATGTGTGCTGCTGGGAGGGCGACCTTCACCACTGAACCTCTAAATGAAATGGGCCATGGACAATGGGTTCCTCTCCAGTTTAATGCCAGTGATTTCTTCAAGGCAGGGCTAGAGAAAGCAGTACGAGAAGCGAGAGAAAATCGGGGTATTAGTGGGGTTTGTGATTTAAGTATCAGGAACATTCTTATGGATTTTTTAAATACTGTTCCATGGTTCATTAGACCCGTCTACCACGGTTTTTGGATAGAACTCTGAAGGCAGGAGGCAAGGACACAGAAGGAATAGAAAACAAGAAAAAGCATCCGTGCATTAGACAATGGAGCCCTTCACAGGATGAGAATGAGCCTGATCACAAAAAATAATCAGAGTTTAAAAACAAAATGGAATGCTTAAAGGCCAATTACTTTTTACTTTGAGTAAGTACAGATATTCTAGAATTCATCTGACAGAAGGGCCATATAACTCAAGGTTTCCTAAAGTAAATTCTGTCATGGCTCCCGGTGGCTTCTTGGGGGAAAAAAAAGCCACAACCAAGCAAGATGAGAAAGTTTTAAAGATGGTTACTTGGAGAAGGGGTTGATATACTCATCTAGGGCAACATTTCTCCAGCTTAAAAAAATAGTGTGTTAACTTGAAATATTAAGTGACCAACATTATTGGTAAGTTGAGAATATGCTTCTTCCAATTACACCTCACCCTGGAAAGGAGCTGACAATCGTCTGTAAGAGGAATGAGAGACAAGATGCTGGCTTTGGGGCAGAGGTGAAGAATACAAGCAGTCTTGCAGGATGACAGACCTGAAGAAGACATAGAAGCTGGCGGCGCCTTTAAGAATTAATTCAGGCTGGAACTGGGGGAAGAAAATCAGTGGGACACCTTCATCATAGTCTTTGTATCCATCCTGGATCACTAAGCACAGCCTGAGAACAAACCTAGGATAGTCTCTACCCTCTCTCGGAGTGGAAGAATTTCTAGGGACAGGTGCCATAAGGAAAAGGCTGCACAACGGAAAATATGTATTTATTATAAAATGTTTGCTTCATGATGAAAGTAGAAAAATAACACTATGAGCTACTAAAAAAGTTCTGGAGCTCAGTCTGAAGAATGGGATAAGAGGCTTTTGCGTTACTTGGAGCACACCATCCTGAGGCTTTCTGTCCTCATGCGTGACAGGTATGGCACAGCACGTATAAGGAGTACGTGTGACTCAGGTCCTGCTGGAAGCCCAAGGAGCCTACATTGTCCACATAAGACGCTCTGGCCACGATGATCAAAGAAAGCATGAAACGTTCTGAGAAGGGCCAGGAGGCGGACAGCCTTGTCGCCCCCCATGCTGGACTGCAGAAGATTCTCTTAGGCTGACGGTCCTGTTTAGAAGACGGTGCCCATGGCCTTATGCTCAGTTTATTGCCCAAATGTCTATGCTGAGGAAAAGCTGCAACTTTTCCCAGGACAACTTGACCCACCATTTCTCACTGGTGTTGCTAAAGTACCAGAAGCATGTGTGATCTCAACCCATGAGGGCTGCTGGCTGAAATTTTTGTATTTCAAATCCTGTCCATACTGATGGCAGAAAGAAAGAAAGAAAAATGTTAAAAGACCAGTGAAAAAGAGCAGCTGGCCTGAACTGTTCTATATTCCAAGCCTCCTGGCCCCAAAGAACAAGGAGAATATCTTCCCTAACTGGGTGGTAACTGTCTACCCGGAATGGGAAAGGCAGTCCCACAGACACCCCTTTCCCACTTAAAAGTCCTCTAGACCCTTCAGGTTGCAGAAGAACAATGACTCCCTCCCTGGATGGGATGGGAACCCAACCCTCAGGTAACAGGAAGTGGTCCCTCAGCAGCGGTACCTGGAGAAAGTGGCCAAGGCAAGCACTTCAAGCAGCAGCTCTAAGCCACAGAAGAAGAGCAAGATGCCGTTCATGATGGCTTCCAGGCGGAGCACGTAGGTCTGCAGCAGCAGGTAATAGGAGGCCATCATGGCAGATGGGAAGGTCAAGGCCACACTAATAGCAAGTGGCATCTTTCGCTGGCAGAGGTTTCCCTTTGTACCTGTCAGACACAGCCCATGGAGTCACCTCCAAGTGGCCTGCTTTCCCTGGCCTCAGAGAAAAGGTGAGTGGGATGTGATGGACTGGCAAGGTAGAGAAAATGATCCTGAATGAGGACATGCAGATTTATAAATGGGGTCCCACTGTACTAAAAATTAGAGGCTTTGGAGTTTAGAATTGGAGTCAAAAATCCTGCTTCCAGTCTGGCTCTCACTCAAGGGACAATGGGCTCTTTATTGGGGTGAATTTTTTTTTCAATTATAAAAATAATAATCATTCAAAACTTCACAACCAATATACAGAAAATAATTTTAGAAAATATAGAAACTGAAAGAGCCATCCATGCTCATGCCCTGGAGATAGTTATTATTAGATGTATATTGTTTCAGATTTTTTTTATGTGTGTATACTCACATAGTACTATTAATTATTATTTTAAAAATCATACTAATACTGTTTCGCAACTTTTTCCCATTTAACATAAGTCAGACATCTTTCCACATATAACTACCTTATTCTTTTTTAATGGCTGTGAACAATTTCATTGAACCAATACTGTCATTTAATTGATCCTGTCTTGATAGATGTTTAGGTTGTCTCTAATGTTCTAATGTTACACAATATGTGGCAATAAATATTCTCACACTGATACCTTTGCGTTTTTCTGGAAATATTTGTTTTTTTCAGCTAGTTTTAGAAGTGAAATTGTTAGGTCTAAGAATATAAATTTTACATGGTGAAACTATCAGCAAAAAGGATGCACTAACTTATATTCCCAAATAGTCTGGGAATGTAAATATTAACCACAAGAGTGTGGGACTACAGAGACCTGTTCCTCAGACCTATTCTCATACTATTGGAAATAGTATTGGAAATATTTTCAATCTGATGAGTGAAAATGTTCCCTTGTTGTTTCAGCTCACTTTTTATTAGTGAGTTTGGGCATTCTGTCAGGTTTATTGGTCCTCTGTAATTATTCTTATGTGAATTGCCTATTAGTGTCCTCTGTCGATTTTTAAACTTAGGGATCTTTTCCTTAGAGATTTATGTGAGCCTGCTTTATCCTTTGTTGTATGTATTGCAAGCATTTTTTTCCCCCAATGTGTTTTAACATTGTTTTCAGTGATGAGATATTCTAACTCATAGGAGATTTGCTCTGTATTTCTGGGGATATAAAATTTATCCTAAAGAAATCCTTGTTCAGAGAGGTGGAGCGGACTGTAGTGCTACTCTGTGCAGGCGTGCACTGCCCTGGACATGGAGTTACAACTGAATCTATTCACCCAAGCAAACCAGTGAAAGGAACCAGAG